TTAAGAATGGCGATTATCAGCATTGAACAGCTGAAATGATGGACTATGAATGGAAGATGTAAGACCTTGAGAATGTTTCGATGAAAGAAAAGTGCCATCAGTACGGCAAGATCCCACGCAGCATATTTGTCCTTTTTCTCGATACCAATTATACGAGGCAGCCAGAATGGAGCTACGGAGGCGGTTATTTTATTCCATGGAAAGAAACCAAATTGGAAGATGTATTTTATCACAACCATTGCCTAGAAAACGAAAATTCAGCTCAGCTAAATTATGAGATGGTTTTCAACAAAAATAAACATTTTGGAGCCACACAAACACTACGCATAATTTCATTTTAAATGATCTTCGAAGTCAAAAGACTCGAAAAGTTTTAAAATATAATACAATGGTGCTGAGAGGAAATTTAGTGGCATCATGTGATTGAGTCTGATATTTGCATTGAAGAATTCCTGACATTGAAAGTGCAGGTTTCGAAGCCTTTTAACTGTTTTGAAAAGCTCCTCGAAAGATGATTTTATCAGGTCAAAGTCAAGAGAATCGCAAAAGATTTTCAAAAATTCTATGCCATCCGGGGACGGAGACGGATTCCAGCATTCGGCTACTCACTTGTGTATAGGTGATCATAGTGATCCAAAAATTTTGCGATGGCCTTGGCACGGTCAACGTTCCCCATAGGAGAGTCATCAGAGGGAGTGGCATCGAGAGAACACTTGCAGAATGCATTTGATTCAGAACAATCATGAAGTAGCAGATCAACTCGGATCGACTCAACAAAACATAATACAGTGCTTGAATGAGCCTTATCAGCATATGATCACGCTTCTGAAATTTTCAATTCACTTAATATGCCTCAGAAAATATGAGAAAATTATCCGATTTCTGCAAAAATTTATGATTAATATAGTCCAAGGATTTTCTAAGGATACATGAGATATGTTAGGTGCTGCAACAATCTGAAATGGACAGATGCTCATCGGCTTTTTGACGTGCGAAGTTAAACAAATATCAACGAAACGCTGCCCGACATCAATCTTCAAAAGTAGCGCGATCAAAGTTCCCATCATATTCCTGAGATTGCTCCATTCCTTTCAGAAACTGGGCAACTGTTTCAATCGCCTCAATATCACTTCGTGTTTTTGTGAACTTAATGAATTGTCAATTGTAGTGATGGAAAATTGGTGAACTGATTAGTGGAATGCATTGAACGAATACTTTTTTGACGAACGATCTTGGTGTGGGTATCTGTGTTGATAGACTATCAGATTTATGCCTTGCTATGTTCACTATACTGCCGTTATCGTCACCGGCTTCGATGTATCGATGCAACTGCGCAAACGATTCATCCTGTCGCAACATTTTCGCTGTCTCAACACAACGTCTTTGAAGTATCGACTTACGATGAACACGAATCGACGAGCGCAACTGAGTCTCATCCTGAATTTACAAACCATCATCTGAGGAAGACGTTCACAGCTTATCTAGATATGTGTTAGAGACACACTTCATGCACAAAAAATTGATCTTATTGGTTGATAAACTTCAGTATTCGCAAGCAAAAATGGGAATACCGATATGACAATTGAGAATACATTGAGAGATGGAAATGACCTCAGCAGAAGTGATCAATTCTTTATGAAGTTGTTTTTCGGTGGTTAGCACTTGAGCGATATAACGATAATCACGGCTTAAACTCATCAAGCTATCAATTGCCGTCTCAATAACGCCACGTCCAAACAGAAGCGCGAACGTGCCCAAATTGCGTAGCAATTCGCTGAGTCTCATTTTAACTGCAAGATTATCAGGAATACTCAAGTGTACAATACAAAACTCTGCACAATCATAAAATGAACCTTGATGTCATTACCAGCATTTTAAAAACAAAACAAACTCCTTAACAGAGTTAAAGTGGCTATCGATTCCACGGTACTGGCATAGTAGTCAACGAAAAGCGATGAAAACCGCTGTTGACGATGGAAAAACATGATTATGGATAGAAATATGAGAATGAAAGCTCAAATTTGCAGTGTTTTCTTTTTGAAACTGGCTCGGCACTCATTTAGTAGCACGAGAATTACTTTGAAGAACGATTACAACAAAATGAACATGAAATTCATTGGAATTCCAATCATGAAATTGAAGACGGAAACGCGCTTTCAGATGTTAGTACTAACGGTTTTGAAATTGTGAATACTTTACGCTAGAGATTCGTCGTTGTCGCTCTTCGGCTTCATCGCGACTGTGCTGAAAAGAATTTGCATTAATCAACGAAACTGATGAGATGAATCTTGTGAACAAGGATGACGGCGCTATTCATTTCACCTACGAACAAACAATTTCACAAAGAAACACTAGCTGATTCCATGGGTTTCCGATCAAACGATGAGAAATAACTTCAGCCATGTGGATGCGATAAAATTTTATCGTAGTGTGAATCCGTCCCTGATAAGTCGAATGGAAGATTGAGCCGTACACAAATAGTTCACCTTTTCGACCACATGCATTTCGAGTACGGCCAGCGCTTCGATGGCACCTGCTACAGTTGTGGGCGATTTGATGGCCGCCGGTACGTCAAGAAGCGGATGCACTGATGAGCGTCGTCTTGGAGAGGCCACACTTTGAGGTGAAACATCATGGTTGGCTGCATCCGATGCCTGCTTTTCTTGATCGGTACCTGAACTTGTTGCATTACTTTTTCTATTGATTCATTTCAGTCCAGGAAGGATAATTATGGTTGATTAAAACTATTTGTGCAGCAATGATCAGTTGTCGATCGTTTTTCTAGTGAATTCTCTTGAAGATTCATTGGCTGGAGCAATGTGCTAGAGAAGAGCAAAAACCTTCAAGTGAACTCGATTCTTCTTGCTGTGAGGGCATCGTGAATTGAGATGGGGCCGATCGCTTCTTGAGGATCGTTGGAGGAGTTATCCCACTGCTAGTAAACGTTGTACGCAACAATGACGGTAATTCCTCTGAAATCACACACACAATGTCATATTTTTTTGCACGACGACTTCTCACAATTGTTGAACACAATCAGGAAGTTAGGAACGTACCTCGACGTGTTACGGATTCTTCGTTGAATGTCGACTCATCATAATCTGCTTTTGGTCGACG